TTTTTAATAGATTAATAGGTATTTTCGTAGTCTTTTCTAGAAGATTTGATCAGTAGTTCTAGATTATAAATACAGAATTGTAAAAATAGAATAGTTTTTTTCTTATTTTAGTTTTCATATAAGTAGGTAGTATACACAAGAAAATATTGTGTCTTGGTTACAGTTTTATGCATGTTGTATTGTATAACAAAATAGGTTTTACTTCTCATATTTATTTAGAAGTAGCGAACCCCGCGAAATATGTTCCACATTTAAAAAATCTGCGCATATTGTTAATTTTTGCTTACGCATTCAAAATACATAAAGTACATCAAAAAGCGAAATCTGTTCACTGTTCTCGAGATTTGAGCTTGGCAATACAATCAGTGATTAATTTTTATACATATTATACCTCTAAATTCTCTTGTCAATTTTTCTGTTGATTGATTTCGTCGTTTGGTACGGGTTATCACAGTGGATTTTAACTAAAAAGAGTCTCACAGTTCTCCATAGGAATAGCACCACGAGATATATTTTTTGTCTTTATTTATAGAATAGTAAAAACTAATTGAAATATATAGACTGGGTAATTCATTCGAGTAACAAATAACAATCGGTACTTATAATTATAATGAAAAACTTAACGATCTTCCTAACAACCTTTTGCGACATTATATATTATCTGTATTGATAAAGGGACTTCACCGTACTCGAAGTACTTGTATAAGTATGCACAATAAGTAAATAGATAGTGACAAAAACACTATTGAAATTGTACTTATAGTAAGGTAGATTATTTCAAAGGAAATTAAATCAGCTTTAAATCAAGCAATATATATGTATATACATGTATGTATATCCAGTTAAAATGGCACCGAGTATCCATCACTCTGAAATGAACTGTGAAAACAATTATATAAACACAATACAATTATTTACTATTATTAAAGTATTGTTAAAAGTATTGTTAAATGGACCTGTCTGTGCAAATGTAGTCCACAATAGTAATAACATAGAGCCGACGCGCGACGTTGTGATTAACGAGCTTAGTCAATCGATATCTCTAATGTATCCTACGGCCTACCTCGGCACACGTCGATACCTGATACAGCCACGATTTAAACTGGCAAGTGGCAACCTAAAGAATTCGAATACTACAAAAGAATATCACCATTCTATTTTTAAATTTGATGTAAAATAATTTACTTATTCCATTAACGTAATCCGTTTAAGAATCTAAAATTACACCGAAGAAGTTTGTCAATCGTCAACTACTCATTAGTGTGAGCTATAAATATACGTTCACAAGATACTGCTAATTATTTGTTATATTTATAGTGATCTATTTGGACTGCATTCTTAGTTTGTGACTTTCCAACAACTTTGCTCTGTAAGTGATAATTTTTTGAACTTATATAGCAACCCTACGATATTTAGATAGTTGGTAACACAAGAACTGCCGCGGTGTTGCTAATGGTATATTTATTATTGCAATATTTGCTGTGTTTAACCACAATTGTTATATTAATCTGGTATTCTGTTTCACAAAGTCTTGATGTCAGAGAAAACCGAACATGTTATAGAAACTTCAGCAAAATTTTTATATTACTCTACCATTAATTCAAATAAACAACATTCAATGTTTTTGAAATGTTGTCTTTTATTTGGTCCTTAGTAGTAGCAAGTAGTAGCACGGAGTCTGGAATTGTGCCCGGTATATGGCAATAGGCTCACCCCTTATTACATGGGACTCATAACATAAATAGTGAAAAGTGGATGTTACATTGTACAGTGGCATTAAGTGCCGAAATGTGCACTTCTGCCAACACTTTCGGGGATAAAAGGCGTGATGTTATGTTATATATCTTTTTTTGGTAAGAGGCTGAGTGTTTTTTAGTGTTTACAAGATTGACATTTTCAAGGCGTGATGTTATGTTATATATCTTTTTTTGGTAAGAGGCTGGGATAAAAAGGCGTGATGTTATGTTATGTTAATTTGGTCCTTGGAACTTCTACAGTGTAATAGTATAAGGCTTACCTTTATCGAGTTGTTATATTTCTGATACTATTCTTATCAATGCCAAGGAGAACGAGCGGAAAATTTCCATTTAGTATCGTAGCGGTTTGGTAATTAAAGTAACACCCGTGAACTTGTCCACTTTGTCGGAAATACTAGTTTCACTTTCATAGTTTCACTTTTTACCAAAAATATCTGAACAAGAAAGAAATCGATTGCCATTGCCACAATGATGTGTTCTGAATTTACATTTAGATATGTGAGCATATTCCAAAACGTGGAAAAAAGAAAAAAGTCAAGGAATAAAAAGGTATGACGTAAAAATTGTTAAAAAAATTCAATACTTACCTATATTTTATATGCTCGTACCATGTTATTACTATACTAGCAGCCCGTCCCGGCTTCGCACGGGGTAGACAATTATTTATTTTTGGAAATTTAGATTGTTGTAGTGACATAACTACAATAGTTGGACATATGCTACCGCGGAGTTTTTTGTAGACATTATGATGTTCTTCAATATTGTTGTACATTATTTTGTTCTATCGCTAATAGTTTCGGCAGCGCATTCGACGAAAAACATTTTAAGACTCATTTTTCTACACCTTCGGTTACATTGTTTAAATTTTACCAAGGATCCCAAAATGAAATGTAGCCTATGTCAAATTGGAAGAATGTAGCATTCTATTGGTGAAAGAATTTTTTAATACGGCCCAGTACTTATTGAGCCTATTCATTACAAACATACAAACATACAAAAATAGGTACAAATCTTTCCTATTCCTATTCCTATATTAGTATAGATATAATGGGTAGGTATAATCGTCATTCTCTCCAGTATGACAATTACCCAGTAGGTACCATTTTATAAACTTAGAAAGTACCTTACAGACATTGAGATTAGTTCGTAAATGAATAATACTTAATCATATATAACGTTCAGCAATAACAATGAATATAAAATCGATCACACATTACGTGTTTATCCTACCCTGTGTAGAAGTCGTGTTTTTATCCCAGAATTAAATTAAGCACTGCTGGCCTTATCCGTCCAGTGTGTGTTACGGGGGCATTACATTACATAAGTTCTATGATTTAATAATCACGCAATAATAAACATAAACCAGTAGATAGGTACGACATTTTCCAAAAATGCTGATATTGATAGTTGATAGCCGAGGTAGATATTATGTTTAGCAATTAAGTAAATAAATATTTTGTACTATTTTGGAGTAGATACAGCTCATATAGCACCTACCAATAGGTAATATATTAGAATAACTGCTTGAATTATGTACGTAGTCCTTAATTCAGTTTAAATAAAATGAGTAGATGTTAAATAGAAATTGCGAGAAAACTGTTTTATTTTCTCGAAATTTGTATGTTATGAATATATTTAATATTTACACTTAAAACGATACAACTTAAAAAATACTTAACAAAGAAAATAAAAGAAAATTAAAAAAGAAAAACGATTTACAAAAATATTTACACTTAAAACGATAAAACTTAAAAATTACTTAACTATGAAAATAAAAGAAAACCATTTACAAAATCCTTTAAAAAAAATGTCCACATGATGTCAACAGAGTAACCAGAAGTAGTATTATTTAATCCATTTTAACATATGAGTGGATTACCTTCCTTAAATAAACCACAGGGTCGGGTTTAGCAGACACTTTGAGAGTACCTACGGAATTATTGATGTATTTTTACGTGGAAAGGTCCTATTGGGAGGTTTTAAATGCGTAATTGTGGTTGGCATGACCGACGTACTATATACCCATACCGATACGTATCCCATCAAGCAGTTGATCTCTTTTAAATAAATGTCTATACTAATATTATAAAGAGGAAAGATTTGTTTGTTTGTTTGTTTGTTTGTTTGTTTGTAATGAATAGGCTCCGAAACTACTGGACCGATTTCAAAAATTCTTTCACCTCTGGAAAGCTATATTATTCCCGAGGAACATAGGCTATATTATATTTTAAAAATAATTAGGGATCTTTCCTAAAATTCCAATAATGTAACCCAAGGTGTAAAAAAATGACCTGAAAAATTCCTTACGTCGCGTGCGCTGCGAAAACTATTGATGATAGAACAAAATCATTTACTACGGACTTATCATTATCTACAAAAAGTGTCGCGTACAGCATGTCTAAATATTATAGTTATGTCACAGTAAGCGGTTTTTTATTCTAAAAATTTAATTTATATGCCGCCGCTTGAAAAGGCTCTCACTAAAACTAATGGCTTTTGTTTTTTGTACCTCTAGATAATATGATATTTGTAAAAAAATTAAAATTAAAAAAAAACATGAATAAAGAATATGAATAAAAAATTCATTAAAAAAAATCTAACTTCCTTTATAATTTACTTTTTTTTTAAAACCCGACGCAAAAAAGAAGGGTGTATGTGTGTGTGTATGTACCCGTGAGAAGCCGGGGCGGGCCGCTAGTTACTGATAAAATAAAACATTAATAATATTTATTAGTATTATCTAAATTTAAAAATAATTGCATCGTCACGTTGCAAAACATCAAGCCTAAAGATATTATAGTCAAACGTGGCCTATATCTACAGTGTTTTTTTTAATTATTGATTGTATTTGCATTAATATATTAAACCCAAATCCGAAAAACTCAGTCTGCGAGATTACAAAAACAATTAGTATCTGGTCCTCGTTGCAGCCAGTTGTACACTTACTGTGGGAACTGACAGAACCGTCTAGTCATTAGTCAACAACAAAGCCTTTATTCTCCGATGGTGTTTTTCTTAACTTCCCGCCATTTATAATACACAGTCTCATGTACCTAATAGATAACCAATCGCCCTAAATTACCCACTATCCCTAAATCACTGTCGCGGAGAACCTAACGGGTAACCGGGGCTCCGGCTCGACGTGCAGGAGAAGGAACGGGGTGGTCAGTAAGAGTCTGACACTCCCTCCACCTCCCGCCTCACCCAGGCGGGAGCAGTCATTTGATGATTTTCCCCCCTTAAAAAAATTCCTAAATTACTGGAATGCAGTGGTAAGCTCTGCTCCATGTTTTTAATGCGGATTCCGAAAAAAAGCCAATAAAAAAGCTGATCTGCTATTTATTTCATACCAATTGATTTATATACAAAAAAATAATTAAGTAAAAAAAAGAAAATAAGATATTAACACAAAAGATTGTGGTGTTATGTTGTTATACATACATTTGAATTCTGAATGTTCTTGGTCATAGACATTTTTACTTAGTATATTCTGATTGATAATCAAACAAGCATGTCGTTTCGAACATCGTTAGACGTGTTCCAAAATTGTCTGAAAATATAATATTTGTCATTAAATGAGCGCTAAGACATCTAATGACGACTGTCACTAAGGAGAAACATTAAGTGTGAGAGAGCCATGCTTCGACACGAATGGGCCGGCTCGATAGGATTGATACCACGGCCTCACAGAAAACCGACGGGAAGCAACGCTGCGTTGTGTTTCGTCGTTACCGGAGGCCCAACTACCCTCCCCTTTCCCAATCGCCCCAATCCCTGAATCCCCAACAATCCCCAAACTCCTAATCCCCAAAAGGCCGGTAACGCACTTGTAACGCCTCTGGTGTTCCATCCAGGTGTCCATGGGCGACGCCGATTGCTTACCATCAGGTGACCCGTCTGCTCGTTTATGCCATAAAAAAGGTCTATTGCCTTGTATTGTATCCGCTATACTACTGAAAATTTTCAGATTGGGATTGTAAAAAACAGATTTAAGACAGGTGTATTGTCAAACAGTGAAGGTTCACTGTTTTAATCACATCTATAAGTGTGCTAATTTAATATGCAGGTACGCTTCTGACTACGATTACTACATAGAATCACAGTTTTAGTAAACCATACGGCTAACCTTCAATTAGTCCTGTGTAGTCGTCACAAGTTTCCTTGAGCACCTCGCAAGCGGTCGTTTTATATTGTTCGTATTTGTTCTTAATACAAATTATGTCTGGTCTGAAATAAAACAACACTATCAACCGATTTATAGACATCATAAATACAGAGAGATTCCAGAAAGTAAGAAAGAAAATTCATTGAGCATATCAATCATAGCTCTACCATAAATAAAAAAGGAACAAAGCATTATGTTGAGCGCTGTACCGGGTTATAAAAGATATTTTTGTAAAAACTGAATATTACTTTTTAAATTAGTATTAACTGAACTAAACTATTGTTTTGCAATTAAAGAATATGAACTGATTCAGGTTACACAATTCATTTTCATCTTAATTGTAATCTTTGCTTGTATCTTTCTGTGTGAGGGTAGTAAGGACAGAGTAGTACTGGTAAGAAGTAGACGCAAGCGATTTAAATCAACAATGCGGTCTCCATCGCTCTGCAACCTGACATATTCTGCAATAAGTCGTATTATATCCAGCCGTGTACTGATACGGGCTATTGTTGTATGTTAACAGTAAATAAAGAGTACACTACTTTATAAATTCCCAACAATTGAGGAGTTCTTTTAAACAATCAGTGATGTTATATCCACCGCGATTTATCTTTTCGAATACAGTGGTCTTATAGAATGCTGTTGGCAAAAGGACGTTCTGGCCCTCGGTCACGTGGTAATCTAAAATGAAATACATCAGGTATAATAATATTGACTGACATGTTTTTAATCGACGACTGCCTCGTTGCCGAGTGGTCGCAAGTGCGACTGCCGGACAAGGGGTCTCGGGTTCGATTCCCGGGTGCGGCGAAGTATTACTGGGTTTTTAAAAAATAAAAATATGACAGTAGTAGCACGGAGTCTGGGATTGTGCTCGGTATATGGCAATAGGCTCACCCCCTATTACATGGGACTCATAACATAAATAGTGAAAAGTGGGTGTTACATTGTACAGTGGTATAATGTGCACCTCTGCCTACCCATTCAGGGATATAAGGCGTGATGTTATGTTATGTTTTTAATAATCTTGTGATATACCAAAGTTGTAGAAGAAATATTTAACTGATCGCCTGATTTAGTTCAGTTTTCGAGTCAAAACAAAAGTAGTAATTTTTTTGCAATATTTAATTACCTACCTTCTGTTATTTATAACTAACTTGGGTTTACAACAGCAATGTAGGCGCACCATAACTTAATAACGGACAAAACATATCATATCAAGTCATAAATAAGTAAGCACATAAAACAAATGTTACTTACAATTGGGCAATATCAATAGAAGACATGAAGCAAAACTTATTATTAAAATTTTCATTGTTCAGGCTGCTGCAACGTGTGTCTGCGACCTGAACGTTGGGAAATGTGATCATGGAAGCTATTTGCCTCTGATTACCAGCACACGCTTGTTGACTTATTACAATGAACAATTAACTATCTATCTATAGTGTGATAAGCAGTGATCGGAAAAAAGGTGAGCTAATTTACCTCAACTTCAAGGAACAAAAACAAAAAGTGGAGACTTCCTTACTGCATTTTTTTCGGGAAAGTGCCGGTTCTAGTTTCGGGATATTTATATTATGTTACATTTAATATAATTGTTATTAATACAGAAAACAATTGATTTCGTTTCGTGATTTTATTTCTTAAATTTAACACAAAACCAAACAAAATTAAAACTTTTATTGTTTTCAACAATAAATATTTTAAGATGTAAGAAAGAGCATAAAATAAAATTATTCAACACCAAAATTATGTTATTAATAAATACTAAATTATTCTAGAAAGAAACCGCAACTTTTGTCACGATTTTAGGTTTTTTTTAATTTTTTGGAACTTTCCCGAAAGAAATGTAGTAAGGAAGTCTCCACTTTTTAGTTTTTATTCCTTGAAGTTTAGGTAAATTAGCTCACCTTTTTCCGATCACTGATGACAAGCTATTCTATTAGCCCTTGTATCATTCTCATTGAATGAAAAAAAGTATTCATTCTGGTTCTTTCCAAAGTAGGTACACTAGGGAAACCAACAGACTTATATTTTTATTTATGTTTTTGTTAAAGGTTGCCTCGTTGGCCGAGTGGTCGCAAGTGCGACTGCCGGGCAAGGGGTCTCGGTCGGACAACGTATTACTAGGTTTAAAAAAATCTCAGTAGTAGCACGGAGTCTAGAATTGTGCCCGGTATATGGCAATAGGCTCACTCCCTATTACATGGGACTCATAACACAAATAGTGAAAAGTGGGTGTTGTACACATTATACAACTGTACAATGGTACAGTGGAATAATGTGCACCTCTGCCTACCCCTTCGAGGACAAAAGGCGTGATGTTATGGTTTTTTGTTTAACGTAAATTATTTATTAATAATTTTTATCTCGGTCTTTGTGATTACTTTTTAAGGGAGTCTTTATTCAATACGTTACAGAACATTTTCAGTTATCGCAAATTATAGCATGATTTTGCTATGAACCATAGTTGTAGCTTTGCAGAATGACGCTTCGTAAAATTAATTACGAAAATCGTAAACAGAGGCATTTATCTATTTAAAAACTAGATTAAACCGGCGACCACGTTCTACTAAACCGAAAAACTAACAGAACTGACGTCAGAAGAATCATAATTTAATAAAGAAACAATTAATTCATTCATATGTGTTACCCACATTTACTTATGTACATAATAAAGCCGTATTGCCGGGTTTTAGGTGAGATGTGCTAGTAAATACGTTTTATGACGTGTGTTTAGACTTTATAAGCGCAATTCGGGTCGGTCCTGTCCTCGTAGGTAGGTACCTAATTGTCTCGGCCACGAATGACGTGACTCCAGTGCACTGACATGCCTGCCCAATTAGGTCTCATGTCTGCTACACGGATCACCTGTCGATTATTATGAGTTATGGCTTTATTAGGAACCAATTTTTTATGGGATAAGCCGGTAAATGAACAGACGGATCACCTGATGGTAAGCAATCGGCGTCGACACCTGGAACACCAGAGGCCTTACAAGTGCGTTACCGGCCATTTAGGATTAGGAATTTGAGGATTGTTGGGATTCAGGGATTGGGGAAGGGGGGTGGTAATTGGGCCTCCGGTAACCTCACTCACACGAGGAAATAGAATAAAAGAAATCTAAGAAAAAATACCATGTCTGGCAGCATCTGAAAAAATCACCGAATTGCTTTAAACTTAAGATTCGAAATCTTTAAACAGTTTCAAATAACGAAGACATAACAATAGTGTAATTTAGTAAAATATCAACGATATGACCTTTACTTCTTACTTTAAAGTCTTTAAACGCAGCCTTCAATTACGATTCGCTTTTTGAACGCCAGCTATTGCCACAATTTTAATACATACTTCCTACGAAGCAAACAATACGTTATACATGTCTTTTCTTTTTCAAAGATACTTATAGTACAATATCTTTTGTATAAGTACATAAAGGCAACCAGTTACCGTCTGATAATGCTCAATATACTGATATTTTTCCAAAAAAGCATTCTTAATTGATACATTTTCAAAGCTTGCGTGTATCATGTCGAGTTATAATAAAACGCAGAATAGATTATCAAAACAATTATTAGAGTGTGTTTTAATAGCTAATGAATTGTTTAATATCTTGAATTACACGCACCCAACAAAGATATTCTGATATATAATTTTACATTTAGGTATTTTTTATGAGATAAGTAAATGAGCAGACGGATCACCTGATGGTTAGCAAGCGGCGTCGGCCATGGACACCTTGAACACCAGAGGTGCGTTACCGGCCTTTTAGGGATTAGGAATTTGAGGATTATTGTGAATTTTGTATTTCAATCTTGTAATGATAAACCTGATCTGATAACACAACATTGTCACTACCATTTTATTCACGTTCAATGGTAGATAAGCAACTTTGCTAGAACATTTCAATAAGTACTACACAAATGTCGTAGTACTCGGTACTCAGGAGTGAAACAGGTGATCGATGGATTACTCCACTCTGCGGCATACATATTTAATAAACCATGGTATCGATTGACCTGCCCCCTCACATTAAACCATTGCTACAAACGTGGGAGGAATTAATAAAATAATAATCTATAATGATAGACGGAAAATTGATATTACACTTTCCTATTGACAGCTCTATTATTTAGCTCTAGAATCTAGTTGTTCAACTCAATGAAAAAGTTATTAGGGTCGAAGGGTTTAAGTGTCTATTTCAGTCTTGTTTCCTAGTTCGTTCAACTGTGTTTGTGATATATTCAGTAATTCGGTTAAATTGTAACGTGTGTAGAGTATACAATCGAACTGTATAGCTTTAACTGAATGTATATAGGATATATGGACCGACAATTTAACGGTTTGACTATATAACTAAAACTGGACAGTTAAATCGTAAGCCGTGTAATGTGCATTACTAAACTGCTCGTCGTATTCCCTAGTAAGTAAGCGATCCGAGCGTACGGCGCCTCGCGTTCCGCGGGCCCATCAAGAAGCCATCAGACCACCACGAATGGGGCCCAATAGGGCTGATGCCGATACGGAGCCGCGGATGACTTAACGGGTTGCTGGGCCTCCGCTCCGGCTCGATGGGCAAGAGTAGGAACGGGGTGGTTTTTAGTCAGTAAGAGTCTGACACTCCCTCCCGCCTCACTCAGGCGGGAGTAGTCATTCGATGATTTTCCCCCTTAAAAAAAGTAAGTAAGCGATCTTAATTGCTCAAATCTTAAATTATTACAAAGTATCACAATATTTTTCCTAAACTAGACAATCCAAATGCAATAAGCGTGATCTAAATTAAAAAAGTGATATCGTTTTAAAAGCAAGAAATCTAGTCTTTTCTAAAAGCAAATCTAGCGCGTCTGGTACAGATTTAATTTGTAGGTCAAAAACATTGTACCTATTAAAGATGGTACGGTCTGAACGGAGAGGTTGCTAATTTGTAATCAACAGCTGCAAGATCTGGATTTATCTGGAATCTATTCGTGGATACTCGACCAGTTCTGTTCCAAAAAAAAAACTTGTTTAGGTGGTTAGCCTGTATTTAATATCCTTGCCAAGTTGCCACTTAGTAAGTCAAGTAAGCCAAGACATTATAGTATGGTTGGTTTATGAAAGTCCGATGTAACAACTAGAAGATTCCACAAATTGGCAACAAAATATCTTACTTACAAGACAATAGCACCACTTTTTAGCGACTACCCTTTATATTTATTTATGCACAACACACAGACAGTACCTAAACAGGAGAATACATAGGTATATAAATAAATTGGAGGTACATAAGTACTACATTTTCCCGTAGGAATCTCATCCTGCAGTCTATGTTAGTATAATAATTTAAACGTCTTCTATTAGATCTTTCCATATACTATTACGTTACTGGCAAACATTTAATTTCTAACCTGTACAAGTTCGCACTACAGCTAATCACAGATGTGTTGTGTGTTAAAATATGCACACCCTGTGCCTCATGTGTGTTATCCTACGGAATTGTCACCGCTTGGTAAGATTCCAACACAACATCACCCCTATTAATCCCCCAAAACAGAAGTGTACCTATGCGTAGGTACTTATAGTATATCTTTTCACGGCTGTATCTTCAAATTCATGACTTTGCGTAGGTCGTGACAATTCCTCTACTTGGACTGTTCTAACTAAACACAGGTTAGCAAAAAAACATCACCAGATCAGAAATGTACCTTATGTACCTTATTTTGTGTGCATTAAAGTGTAAAATAAATAAATAAATAAAATCGGTGATATAAAGTTATGAGTAATAATATGTTGAAAAAGTAGCTAAATTTAATCCGTAGTAACAGCTACCTGCCAATAAAATCCCGTCAAAATCGGTCCAACCATTTCAGAGATAAGCCAGAACAAACAAATAGAACAAACAGACAAAAAATATAAAAAAAATAATTTGGTATAGTATATGTAAATGTTCATATTGCATGTAGTAAAAAGCGGTTATATCAATATTACAAACAAACACATTACTTGATTTAAATGTATAGTTTTATAGATTAATCTGAAAGAGAAATGTTACCTAGTTTGACCTGATCTTAAGTCAACGGTGTTAATAATTAAATTTCAGTAAGTATTAAGCGCGTTACCCAATTCGCTAAAACAGTTATTCACATATATTTTTCTTCTGCAATTAGCAACGTTATGTGCTTAATCTTTTTTAATCTCATTAGTATAATAACTACATTTTTCTGTGTTACATAGCTTGTTTATTGTTAGTAAAAGTGTCATTTCATTACTAATTTTCTAGAAACAAGTACGTTATAACATATTTTATTTTAGCCGTTATTATTATTGTTTATACATAAAGAATATATGCCTAGTGTTTATGCTCATC